AACTTGTTAAAATTTGACAAATTTAAGTGGATTGAACATAAAACTATTAAGTTTCCAAAAATCCTCTTAATTTGTTGTTTCAGATAATTTTAAATAAGTAATTTAAAAACAAAAAGCATAACAATAACCATAACAATAAGTATAATTCTTTGAGCGTTTGTAAATTTGACTATGAATATTAAGAAGTGAACAAGTTATCAGTATGTACCAAAGCTAAATAGTTTGTACTTAAAGACATTTGAGTCGGCGCCAGTGGTGTAGTGGTTAGTGTGTCGAAACATGCAACTCCGGTGCTCACGGTGACCCGAGTTTGATTCCCGCCTCGCGGTTCTATGCCAATTCTTCCCTTTTCTCTGCTCCCCACCCTTACCTGTCAATACTCTATATTGTCCTGTTCATTAAAGGTGAAAACCCCCCAAAAAATATTTATAAAAATAAAAAAACATTTGAAATCTGCGTTTAAAGATCACTGTAAAAATGCTGGGTTCCACACAATCGATTTGTGTTGCGGCAACATGAAGGAATTAAGTTAACTTGTTAAAATTTGACAAATTTAAGTGGATTGAAAATAAAACAATCAAGTTCCCCAAAAAATACTTTTAAAATTTGTTAGTTCAGATCATTTTAAATAAGTAATTAAAAAAAAAAAGCATAACATTAACCAGAACAACAAGCATAATTCTTTGAGCGTTTGTAAATTTGACTATGAATATTAAGAAGTGAACAAGTTATCAGTGTGTACCAAAGCTAAATAGTTTGTACTTAAAGACATTTGAGTCGGCGCCGGTGGTGTAGTGGTTAGTGTGTCGAAACATGCAACTCCGGTGCTCACGGTGACCCGAGTTTGATTCCCGCCTCGCGGTTCTATGCCAATTCTTCCCTTTTCTCTGCTCCCCATCCTTACCTGTCAATACTCTATATTGTCCGGTGAAAACCCTCAAAAAATATTTATAAAAATAAAAAAACATTTGAAATCTGCGTTTAAAGATCACTGTAAAGATGCTGGGTTCCACACAATCGATTTGTGTTGGGGCAACATGAAGGAATTAAGTTAACTTGTTAAAATTTGACAAATTTAAGTGGATTGAACATAAAACTATTAAGTTTCCAAAAATCCTCTTAATTTGTTGTTTCAGATAATTTTAAATAAGTAATTTAAAAACAAAAAGCATAACAATAACCATAACAATAAGTATAATTCTTTGAGTGTTTGTAAATTTGACTATGAATATTAAGAAGTGAACAAGTTATCAGTATGTACCAAAGCTAAATAGTTTGTACTTAAAAACATTTGAGTCGGCGCCGGTGGTGTAGTGGTTAGTGTGTCGACACATGCAACTCCGGTGCTCACGGTGATCCGAGTTTGATTCCCGCCTCGCGGTCCTATGCCAATTCTTCCCTTCTCTCTGCTCCCCACCCTTACCTGTCAATACTCTATATTGTCCTGTTCATTAAAGGTGAAAACCCCAAAAAAATATTTATAACATTTGAAATCTGCGTTTAAAGATCACTGTAAAAATGCTGGGTTCCACACAATCGATTTGTGTTGCGGCAACATGAAGGAATTAAGTTAACTTGTTAAAATTTGACAAATTTAAGTGGTTTGAACATATAACAGTTAAGTTGTCACATAAAAACTCAAGAATTGTGTTCATTCAGTTCATTTTAAATAAGTAGCTTGAACAAACAGCACATGTCATTTACTATTTCTTAAATAAATGAGGATGCACTGTAATAATTGTGCATGTTTAATTATTATTGGTGAATGGCAAAACAAAAGTGCATTAACACAAGATCTCAGGAAGTGTTTCTTTCGCTGCAGCCATTCTAGAGCTCGAAGCTTTCTAAGCAGGGCCGGAAAGGTATGCTGAACGCTCTCCAGCGCGCTCTCCTTCAAACGCAGTTGAGTGTGTCTTAGTGGATCGGACACAAAGCCTTCCTGTGTGTGTGATGGACTGAGGAGAGTCTTTTATACAGGATAAAAACTCCCTCGCACACACAGAATGCGCAAAGCCCGAAATGTCATCAGTGTTCACTCAAGTGTGCACGCATTTGTGTGTGCGCTTGCGTGCATCATGTGTTAGTGTGTGTGTGCGAACCAGATGCTGCTTTCCTGTTCAGATCCCATTATCAGATGGTTCTGTAACCTGATTATTCAGCAACTGCGGCTAATTCGTCAGCGCTCGGCAAAAGTCTCCATTATCTGATGATATTAGTACAAATTGGTGATTTTTTTTTTAAATCAGAGGGCATATCGATGCACTGGTTGACACGTACACGATGGCTGCGCTCCAAAATCATGCCATGCTTCCTTGTTACATAGGCAGCATCCTACCTGGATCTGAAGCTCATTAGTTGCTGATTTGGAACGCTGTTTGTAGGAAGTAAACAAAAAAAAAAACATGCAGGAAACTCGGCTCAGTGGTTAACACTGTTGCCTCACAGGAAAAAGGTCGCTAGTTCGAGTCCCAGCTGGGCCAGTAGGCATTTCTGTGTGGAGTTTGCTTTGTTCACTGTTGGCGTGTGTTTCCTCCGAGTGCTCCGGTTTCCCACACAGTCCAAACACATGCGCTATAGGGGAATTGAATAAACTAAATTGGCCGTAGTGTATGAGTGTGTGTAATTGTGAGAGTGTAAGGGTGTTTCCCAGTACTCGTTTGCAACTAGAAGAGCATCCGCCGAGTAAAACATATGCTGAATAGTTGGTGGTTTATTCCACTGTGCCTAGCCCTGATAAATCAGGGACTAAGCCGAAGAAAAATTAATAAATGTATGAAACTCAGCTGAGTTGATTCCAGTCGAGTTTGGTGTTAATGTATGTTCAACAAACTTCTGCTCTATTCAATTCAGTTCATCTTTTTTTCTGTAGCGCTTTTAAAATGTAGATTGTGTCAAAAGCAGCTTCACATAGAAGATTATAATGAATTGAAACAGTGTCAATCCAGTCCTCTAATATGCATTAGATGTTTATAACATACATCAATATAGAGTATTAATTTAATTAAATGTATTTAATTAAAGTAGACTATTTCATTAGTATTCACATCAATAAGTATTATATAATTACATTATATCAAATATTGTACAATTAATAATTATTGTATGCACTCCACTGAAGACATCCATTACCTTACATATTTAGCCTACATTAGCATACAGATTTAGTTTGTTAAGTGCAAAGATTAGTTTCAAAACTATTTCTAAATTCAGTTCTAATTTCCAGCAAATGAATAAACAAACAATAATAACAAAGTGTGCTCAAAAAATTAAGTTATATCCAAACACGTCCTGTTCTTATGCGTCATATGGTGATACATACGTCTCCAAAACCTGACATGTGGACAAATCTAACTTGTTTTTATTAAATCACATCCTGTTTGTATTAAGCAATGTTTAAGCGTTTGGACCATATAGGTGCATAACTAACGTGCTCTGCGCTGGACTTTATACCTGCTTTCAGTTGGTCAATGGCTTTTTCAGTTAATCAAAAAAGCAACGTGCCAACAATGCGCCTTAACACACCTCCTTTTTCAGCCTAGCACACCCATGAGTCCACAAAGTGTCGCAAATGGATTTGCTATTTAAACAACTTGACGCAAAATGTGAAAATAAGGGTTGCGCTGGTCTGAAAATAGCAACAAATCGCGCCATACTCGTCTTGCGGCTTAGTGCATCGGGTGTATGATAAGGCCCTAAACGTTTGCGCCTCGACAGTTTTTTGTGTGAATTAGAATGAATTACATCTGAAAATGTGTTTTGCATTTATTTTGATATCAGTAAGTGAAGAAATTATTAAAAAACATAACTAACAACAATACAATTTTTCTAGGGAAATGTTGTTATCGCAACACTAAACAAACATATCATATTGTATCGAGCACTTTCTATATGCAACTGTTGTTCAACATAAAACAATGCAGATGGCACAGAATGAATTTGAATTTTGTCCAGGCTGGCCAAAATCTGTGGGAAAATAATCGCAAGCTCCACTAAATTGCACATCATTTGCTTGATTTTACGTTAACTTCAGTGTTTGCAGAATCGCTATATTCTACAATGACTGTTCAACACAATAACTGCTTCATTCATTCATTTTCCTTCAGCTTAGTCCCTTTATTCATCAGGGGTCACCACAGTGAAATGAACCACCAACTCATCCAGCATATGTTTTACGCAGCGGATACCTGTCCAGCTGCAACGCGGTACTGGGAAATTCATACACACTCATTCACACACATATACACTACGGTCAGTTTAGTTTATTTAATTCACCTAGGCGCATGTGTTTGGACTGTGGGGAAAACCCACACCAACACCGGGAGAACATGCAAACTCCACATAGAAATGCCAACTGACCCAGCTGGGACTCGAACCAGCGACTTTCTTGCTGTGAGGTGACAGTGCTAACCACTGAGCCACCGTGTCGCCCCACAATAGCTGCTTGTTTTTCTATCCATTAAAGGTCAAAGGAATTCAGCTTTAAAGTCAGTGAGAGTGAGGGAATTTGGCTTTTGGCTTTGAGTGGGGAAAAACGTTTCCTGCATTGTCTGTAGTTGACCGTGTCATTGTTCAGATAACATGTTGTATGAGGCATGAATAAAGCAGGTCTTTTGATGCACGGCAGCTTGATGCTGACAGATATGAGTGAGATGTTCGCAGGATTTTCTGCTGTAAATCAGCAGGGTGGCACGTCTCGCAGCGCCGCGAGGCTTTTATGACGCCCATAAAAATAGATGTGAAGGTATGTTTCCCACATACGTTAATGGATCGTCAGACAGTGCGTGCAAGTTTGTGCACGCTCATCCTTTTATAATTAGATATGGTCACAAAATAACTCTACCTAGACATTGATGCTTGACATGCAAATGAGTGCTGTTGTCGAAAGCCTTTTCATTGACTCTTTACTGTCATGAATCTGACCAGAGTAGTCTGTTCATTCTGATTAAGCGTTATTTAGGCCATTGTTTCAAGCATGCATGTATGTGTGTGTGTTTTCACAGCCCAGAAGAGAGGAGTGTAACAATGTGAGACCAGAAGACTGGAATCCCAGAATTCCAGTGGGCATCTCTCCTGTGAGTGCACATATGGTACATTGTTTATGGAAATGTGATGCATAGTTTTGTCCTTGATTATAAGCTTGTGTGTGTATATACTATATAAACTAGGAAAAAAGTGTACTGTATATACTATACTGTTCTATATGTGTTTAGAATAAAATAAAAATGCATATACAGTTGAAGTCATAATTATTAAAATTAAATTAAAATTATTACTTGTTTTTTTTTGCTTTTTTAAATATTTCCCAAATGATGTTTAACAGAGCAAGGATATTTTCACAGCCTGTCTGATAATATTTTTTCTTCTGGAGAAAGTCTTATTTGTTTTATTTCGGCTAGAATAAAAGCAGTTTTTAATTTTTTAAACACCATTTTAAGGACAAAATTTTTAGCCCCTTTAAGCTAATCTGTTTATGGACAGCCTACAGAACAAACCATCGTTATAAAATAGCTTGCCTAATTACCATAACCTTCCTAGTTAACCTAATTAACCTAGTTAAGCCTTTAAATGTCACTTTAAGCTGTATAGAAGTGTCTTGAAAAATATCTAATCAAATATTATTTACTGTCATTTACTGAAATCTCTCTGTAAAACAGAAATAAGGGAGAAAAATAAACAGGGGGGCTAATAATTCAGCAGGACTAATAATTCTGACTTCAACTGTATATTTGAGCATTTAAGAATGTTGCTTGGCTTCATTATAACCTGGGTGTCTGTGGGGTCTTAAAAAGTCTTAAAATGTCTTTTAAACAAATATTTAGATTATAAAAAGTCTTAAATTCTCTAAAATATGGTGTTGTGGGTCTTAAATAATTATTAAATAATATAAACAATTTTTTCTTTGATCATATAAAGCTACTCAATCAGTACACCCAACGATCCATCTCCAAAAAATAAAAAACAAAAATTAGCAAAAGTAAATTTATTAACCCTATTACCAGATAAGGTTTATTATCTTTCTTACTGTACGTCCTTGCAATATCATTTGTTTAAAAGTTCTCCATGTATTTATGAATAACTGCACTGTAAAAAGAAAAAAAAGTTGACTCAACTTAAATATTGAAGGCAACAATCTTCAGGACATGTTTGAGTTGACTCATCTTTTAACTCAATTACTGCACTATTTTTTGACAGTGTGTATGTTGTACATAAATTTAATGTTTTTTAAAAAATGTCTTTTTTTAAAGAAAAGTTATGCTAATAAAAAATATATGTATATAACTGGAGTTTGCTTGTTTCGACTCATTATTTGAAATGGTTGCTTAAGAACTGGCCATTACAAAAAATCCTTAGCGTTTTTGCCATGTGAAAGTCTGAAACTTTATTCATAATAGTCTTTAAAAAGTCTTTGAAAAGTCTTAAATTTGACTTGATGAAACCTGCAGATAATGATTTGATAACTACATAATCACGATCCGATAACCCTGATATGCTCTAAATACATCCATGCATACACTTGTGCAAATAAATAATTAATAAATGTATAAAAGCTGAAATGCTAAATTTGTTATTTTGTTTATATTTATAATTTATATAGCGAACTTATAGCTAGATTTTTTTCAGATAATGCATATGTAATTAAATAATTAATTAAAAAATATTTTTTTATCTTATTGACCCCAAACTTTTAGCCAAGTTTTTCTTTTTTGTCAAATATTTGTACATTTTATTTATATTTACTTTGTATTATCATACTATTTATTTATACCTTCAAACTTATCCATTTTCTAACTACCAGTATGAAATATTGTAAATGTCACTTTTGATCAGTTATATGCTTTTTATAATCCATATTTAATTAAATAATTTATTAAACATATAAGAAATTTCTTAAAAAAAAAAAAAATGTATTGACCTTAAACGGACCCCAAATGTTTGAACGGTAGTGTGTAAAATATTTCTACATTTTCCTTTATCTGTATTTCATCTGCTTTATATTATACTCTTTATTTTTACCTTCAGTTCTATCTATCGTCTAACTACCAGTATTTGTCATTTTTATTTTATATGTACGTATAATTCCTAAGTAGTGGTTTTTTATGCGGAAACCATGACACATTGCAAATGTCACTTCTGATCAGTTGTATGCTTTTGATCAGTGTTTTTTCAACCACGTTCCTGAAGGGAACATTTTCCATGTCTCCATAACCAAACGCACCTGATTCAGATCATCAGCTCATTAGCAGAGACTGAAAGACCTGACATGAGTGTGACAGACAAGAAGACATCCAAAACAGGCCGTGTTAGTTGTGCTCCAGGAACGTAGTTGAGAAACACTGCTTTTTGATGATCTATATTGAATTAAATAATGAATTAAAAAATCGTATTGACCCCAAACATTTCTACATTTTATTGCATTTTAATTTAATTTACTTGATATTATTATACCATTTATTTTTTACCTTCAAGTCTATTCATTTCCTAACTACTGCTATTTTTCACTCTTCAGGTAAAGCCCAATCCTCTGAGCAGCGAGTGGAACGGTAAATCAGAGAGCTGCGTGTTAAACATCAACTCCTCCATCTACGACGAGATCCAGCAGGAGATGAAGAGGGCCAAAGTTTCCCAGGCCATGTTCGCCAAGGTCGCCGCTTCCAAAAGCCAGGTACTGTACACACAAAACAGACGTTCACCAGCCTGTCACACTCCAATAACAACTGACTGTCAACGGTAAACAGTAACAACGGTCACATACACACCATTCAACTACTGCACATGTATGCTGTTACAGTTTTGCACATCATTCATTCTCTGCTTAATTTTGCACAACAGTTTTTAACATTTACACATTAATGCATATAGGAAGTTCTTTATATATTATTTATTTCCTAGTTTATACTTATTTAACAAAATAGGCATGCCAAAAAGTAAACATAAGTAGTTTATATGTTTACTAAAGGGTTAAAGTCAAAATTATTAGCACTCCTGTGATTTTCTTTTTCCAATATTTCTCAAATGATGTTTAACAAGGCAAGAGATTTCTCACAGTATGTCTGATAAAAAATATCTGGAAAAAGACTTATTTGTTTTGTTTCCGCTTGAATAAAGCCAGTTTTTAATTTTTAAGAAACCCTTTTAAGGTTAATATTACAGTTTTTTTACAGACGTTAGGACATATTTCTCAATACTTTGCAAAACTCTTCACACAGTGAGCACCACAGAAGTCTATGAGGGCTAAACTGACGATCAATGTTTTGGCACAAAATGCAATCAATGACTATACCTCTCAAAGTTCATGAATTTTTTTTCTCACTCAGACACAACAACTGCCAAAATCTTTGTACGTACTGGACATTTTGCATGTGCTTACGTGCTGTAATCAAAACTGTTAAACTTATGTTTAAAGCAATAACATAATGCAAAACTGAATAAGACAGCAAAATTCAACAACAATATTTTATTGAAACATATTTCACAGCTAAAAATACAGTTTAACCAGCCAGGGGTGTGTTTCCCAAACAACGACGTAACTTGCAGCTGAACTATCACAGTTCGATGCATCCTTTGGGAAAAGAACAATGTACTGACGAGTGTTTGCCAAAACCCGTAGTTTCTCTGTCACGGATCTATCGTTTAAATCACGTTAGTTAAAATGTAAAGCGCTCATAATGATGCTCTAAACGGGGTGGTGAAACGGCTTCTTTAGAGAAGAACCTCATAGTTTGTTTGTGCAAGTTATATTGTTTTACACGCACATGCATTTAAAAAAAAAAAAAAGCAATATTAGTTTTGGTAAAAACATGCACTCATTTCCCATATTAAATAAAATATATTTAAATGCTCATATAGGGCCAGCGTTTCCTTTACATATATTATTAAGAACATTCCATAGTCTATTCTAAGACATAAGATCACTTACAAAAGCTAACACGTATTCTAATGTCATATATAAATCATGTAAATAAATAAATAATGAGGCGATTTATTAAAAAATGACATTTAATATTTGTTATTTATTAAAAAATTAAAAGGAAATCTTTAATATTAATATTAATGATGATGATTATTATTATTATTATTATTATTATTATTATTATTATTAAAGTAGGATATAGTTTTTTTATTTTTTTATTATTATTTTTTTTTTTTTTTACAATTTGAAACATGTAAAACCACTGCAGAAATGTCCTAATCAACAGGCCCATATCATATACAGTACAGATACTTAATAAATAACTTAGTATAAATTAAGAGCATTAACAAATTCCACTTTTAAATAATAGGTCTTTTGGCATGAGCCACGTCTGCGTTCCAAATGGCTTCAATGTTTCCTAAGTGCACTGCGAAGGGAGTGCAATTGTAAGCATGAAGATCGCTAAAACTGAACTGTTAAAATATTTTAAAAACAAATGACACCTAAGAGAGATGACTTTAATGCTTTAAAAAAAAATTTAAAAATCATTCCAAGTGTAAATGTTTGAATGTTTATGGCATAGGGGGATAACAGGGAATAGAACACAGCCAGGGGGGAATGTCATTGAGCCAGGATTCGAACACGGGACGCCCTGACTTGGTACTGCATCTTATGTCGACACGCTAACCACTAGGCCAGTGATTCTCAAACTGTGGTACATGTATCACTAGTGGTACGCGGGCCTTTCTAGTGGTAGAAAACTGAATAATGAAAGGAAAAAAAAAACTCAGATTTAAATGTAGCGGGACACAGAACATAGACTCGAGCAACTTTGCCATGCTTGAAACTAGAATATAGCCTGATAAAAGTTAGTCTCTGTATGTGGTTAACACAAACTGCGGTCCACTTAAGATGAGATCTTAAATCTGCATGTATGAATGGATACATCACATATCAATTGGTCAAGCAGTGTATTTATGCATGTAATCGCTCACTTTTCTGACACACGTACTGTAAAAAAACGAGCTGGAACTAATTTCTAAGGTAAATATGTAACTCCAAATCATTCATTTTAAAATACAGGTTAATGTTTAGATTTCAAAGATAAACAAATATGTCATGTGTAAATGCTACATATTTCAAAATTGATCAAAATGGTTTTATATATGAATATGATGACATATAGCCAATATTTATAAGGTCCAAGTAACATTTCCAGGTTTTAAATAAATAGGTTTTAAAATATGCTTTTAAAAGCACACTTTAAACATTGTCTTTATTTATTTATTGATTTATTTAAAATGTTTACCTGTAAGCACAGTAGTGTTCATGTTCAAACTATTTATAATGTTTAAAGTGGCTGACAATAATAATAGTAATTATTCTGCCTCGTCATTATGGTGTTACTTGAAGAGATAATTTTTTTCTGAGGTGATACTTGATGAAAAAAGTTTGGGAACCACTGCACTAGGCTATTGCGCCGACAGTATTTATTTTTCTGATGGTCTACAGAACAAACCATAGTAATACAATGACTTGCCTAATTAACCTAGTTAAGTTCATTTAGGCTGAATACTAGCATCTTGAAAAATATCTTGTAACATATTATGTGCTGTCATCATGGCGAAGATGAAAATGAGTTATTAGAAATGAGTTATTAAAACTATTATGTTTAATAATGTATTAAAAAAACTCCTCTTTCCGTTAAAGAGAAATAGGAGGACAAAAATATACAGGACGGCTAATAATTCTGACTTCAACTGCATTAAACTACTACTACATTAAACTTTATTGGCCTTCAGTGTGGACAGCAAAGACTTTCATTGTACACTGAGCCCGTTCCTTAACATGCATATGACAGTAAACACTTTTGAATCTTGAATCTGATCACTCTTCTAGTTGACAAAACACCATCAAGCATTTTGTGTGTGTGTGTGTACGGTCTAAAGAGCGCTCAGATAGTGAGATAGAAGCGTAAAAGGAGAGCTTTGTTAATCCTGGCGCTCAGGTAGCGCAGCACTATAATGACTTGCGCCGCTTTATTGTGGCTTTGCGAACAGCAGACAGTGTTGCAACATAAAACAAATGTGTTTATATAATTCAGCTGCGCAACGACCACACCGTTATCTCAGCCTTCTGCTGAATACAGGCCTCTGTGCGAGACATTACCGTCTGTTTTAGCCTATTAAAACTAATTAAAGAAGCCCCATTATTAAAGGTTTCACATATCTATGTGCACACTTAAAGATTTTCACAATTACATCTGATGTCGGTCGGGGACTGGGGCGGGGGGGGGGGGGGGGGGCGCGAATAAAAGCCCTAAATTATCTGGAAATATCAGCAGGTTTTTGCTGATTGCACTGATTACGGTGCCAGATACTTTTGTTTCACCAAATTACAGTTTGATGCACAAACCACTGTTTTTGTGGAAGGGAGTTCAAAGCCGAGAAGGGTGGAGGAGAGAAAAGACAAACCGGGGCATTTATTCCAGTAAGATTCCCATATAAAATGATGGTTTGGGAGAAAAGAGCCCCCTCTCTGTCTATGTCTCTCTCTCTCTCCAGCCCTGCCTGAGCCTGTGTGCTCCATTCATGGCTGGTGTGAATGTGAATTGAGCAGCAGATAAGAACTGTGCTAATTACGCAGCTGAAAAAGGGGCCTGGGAGAGCACTTATCTCTGGCTCCATCTCGTAATGTGCGCTCCCCGGGCAGCTGGTACCCCCTCCTTCTCCTATCCCAGCCCCCCTCTGCAGGGGCCCGCTGGGGCCGCCGGCTGAATGTCCGGCCGCTGAACGCTTCTGAACGCTGCTGTTTTTACCAGACCTGTCATAATTAGCATTGGGAAGCACTTTGCGTCAGGGCGTGTCAATTAAAGAGTCATTGAGGGACGTCAATTGGTAGCAGGTTTTCATTGTGATTGGTGATCGCAGACTGGAAGAAACTACATTTCCCAGCATTCTTTGTGCATGCACTTGATGGAACAAATAAAGAAGTGAATACATACACTTTTTTTTTTTTACTCATCAGTTAAAATCATTGGAGGAAACTACATTTCCCATCCTTCTTTGCAGGATAAAATAGACAGTTATAAAGCAATTGCACACTAAAAAAAGTCAAAGATGTAAATTAAGCTGTATGTACAACTGCATAAAACTACATTTCCCAGTGTTCTTTGTGGATGCACTTGAAGGATAACAGACGGATATAGAAGCGAATACACACTTTTTTTAATTCAATGTCAGATTTCTGAACTACAAACTAATTAGCTGTTATCAAATTTTCATTGTAATTGATAATACTTTAACCAGATGAAACTACATTCCCCAGCATTCTTTATGGTTGCACTTGTACATAAAATAGACGCATAAAGAAGTGAATACACACTTTTTTTTTCAATGTCAGATTTCTGAACTACAAACTCATTAGCTATTACATTTTCATTGTAATTGGTAATAGTTTAACTGCATGAATCTACACTTCCCAGCATTCATTGTGGATGCACTTGAAGGACAAAGCTAAAGAAGCGATTACACAGTGAATAAATACATTTTTTATTTTTTTTAATAAATAAATAAATAAACAAAATGGAACTGAACGCTTCTGAACCCTGCGTTTTTTTACCAAACATGTAATAATTAGCATTGGGAAGCACTTTGCGTCGGGGTGTGTCAATTAAAGAGTCATTGAGGGACGTCAATTGGTAGCTGGTTTTCATTGTGATTGGTGATCGCAGACTGGAGGAAACTACATTT